TTCCAGTGCCTAGAATCTGTGAAAGAAAGTCAAATAACAACCTATGTACTACTCTGCTTTAGCTATGTATGCTCTTCTTTGAGAAGCTCATGTTATAGAGAAAGAAAATCTGATATCCTTTTATATCTGCTAGACAAGAAATTGCTGAAGGCAATTTAGTGATTTGCTAAAACCCAGTTCTGTTTCTCCATTCTTCACTAATGTCTCTGGATATTTGTGTATACTGTAGTATTTTTCCTTTTTATGTGTTAGCATGTTGAGGATGGATTACAGGGCTTACTTCTTACTTATAGTCACATATATTTCATTTTAGAAAGTGTATATTAACTTCAATTTCTTGCACTTTGTCTGTTCCACTTCAAGTATTTACCTGACTACGGGAAAAAAATTACAAGTGAATTTTTGCATCTAGTTTTTAGAAGTGTGTTGAATTTCTCTGAATTTCTCTGCTGAATTTCCTCACAGCCTGACTTGAGCATCCTAGGAGTGCTGGGTGTCATTGCTTGTTTTTAGGAGACAGAATTCTGAGGCTGTTAGATCAAGGTCTTGAATACATGTGATTTTTACAAGTTGTAACTTCCAACCCTGTTTCTGATCTGAGTTGTCAAGACTCCTCAGTAATATGCAAACAGAATAGCATATCCTTTTAGTAGTGGTAGCATCCTGCTTGCCTGAGTTTGTTTTCACCCTTCACCCTTGCCAACAACTTTGATTTTTCACTGACCACAGTGGTTTCTGCAGTATCTGTGGACTTTGCAGTATCTGAATTCAAATGCAGTCATTCAGTTTCTGAAAATGAAAGATGTGGGAACAGAGACTACTGTCTCTGCCCCAGGGGCCTGAGGGTGTGCTGCATCTGCTATTCCTTCTGTGGAAGGCTCAGGACAACCTGTTCTTTTTTTCCCTGTTACTCCCAACACCTCCCCAGACCAACATATTTACTTTTCTGGTCCCCAGTGATGGTGCCAGTTACTGAGATTGGGAAGTGAGGTCACAGAGGTGATCAGCGGATGGGAAGGTGACCAGCTCACCCCCAGAACCTCACTCCCATTTGCATAGAGTGGAAATTACTTTCCCCTTTTATTATACAAATGGAAAGTCAGTTCACAAAAATCAGATTCCTTTTTTCAGCAGGGCAGGCTGTTCGTGTCCTTTGTGGGGACTGACCACATGTAGCCACTACCTCCACTGGCCTTTGTGCACAAGATCTCTCGGTGTCCAGGGCTGGTGGGACACCTGGAGATGGGCCAGCAAATCTCAGAGCAACTGCAGGAGCCAACACAGGTACTGAAGGCACCCAGCACTTGATATCTGAGATCTAGGAATAACTGTTCTTCCTATATCTAGGGGAAAAACCCCAACAAACATTTCCAGAGCTTCATCTCATAAAGACTGAGAGAATAGGAACATCTCATAGTGAAACAACTGATCTGAAGTATGAGCTCACAGCTGCAGTGTACTAAACAAATAAGATGGTGATGGAAGAACTGGTTTATTTTTCTCTATACCAATCCCTTCCTACTTCAATGGATCATGTTGCATTCTGGAGAAAGACTTACTCAGCTGCTTGGTGTTGGGGAGGAATAAACCAGGAGGCTCACTTTAAGGTAAACTGGAATGTCTGTCCTTTGGTAAGACAGCAGGCACACTTCTGTCAGCTGGTAAAATTTTAATCAATGTTTTTCATCATATGGTTGATAGAGGATCTGTGCTTGAATAGCTGTGAGTACAGTGTGCATTAATCACCTTGCTACACTTGTGTGGGAACTAATGGAGTACAGCGTTTCTCCCAGTAATATACATCTGTATTAGAGCCTGCTCCAAAACATTAGTCGGTTCTACAAATATAGACAGAATTTTATTGCATTCTTCAGTAATGTGATAATGATGACCAGATTCTTACAAATCTTCGTGGACTTTCTCATCAGTGTAGAACCAAATTAAAATTTAACTTTTTCAAAATTTCCAAGCGTTACATGTTTCACTGGCTCAGTCAGTCAGCCAAATATTTGAGTAAAGAAGGTGGAAGTTTTCTATCACAGTTTCAGAACTGCTCTTCTGTAATAATTTAAAATCTAATTTACAGAACCTTTATATTAGATATCATTTGGAAGTAGAGTCTAACTAGTTAAGATTATTTTCATACAGGTCTTGATTTTTTCTTGCTAATTCTTAGTTTCTGAATATCCTATTAAGGTAGATTTTAGGAAAAACAAAATCTTTTTTCGAATATTGCTTGAAGTTACGCTCAGTGTTTATTCAAACCGATCTGTTTTGAAGAAAAAGAGAGTAACCTTACAGTTTTTTTCTGTTATGTCTTTCAGTTCCCAGAACAACAACAAAAAACTCCCCACCAAATGCAAAATAAAAAGAAAAAAAACCAAAACACTTTGCTTGGTATGAATTGCACAAGAGTATGAGTCGAGAAATATTTTTTATGTGTCTTCACATGCACATGCCAAAAGGTCTCTGCCAGAGCTGTTCTCTGTTGGAATTCACAGGGGGTTGTGAAGAGCAAATACTGAAGCACTGTCTTGCTCTTTCTCCTTTAAAATACTATTTGAGGAGGAGCCTGAGGAGCTGGATTGCTCAGAAAAGGATCTGTTTAATATCTGAGATAAAACTCCTGGGTTGCTGAGCTGTAATTGAAAGGTAAATTTTGAGAGAAAACAAAATTAAATTACTATTTGCATAGTTTATTGTTCCTTTGGGATTTATAAAAACATCCCCAGTATTCTTTGCCTCAACCCAAAAAAACTATCTTTGTTGAATTACAAGTTTTAGATTGCAGTTTTCTCTTCTTTCTGAAAGACTTGAGCAATTATTTGAATTCCCTAAGAGTATGTTAAAACACAGGAGACAAAAGCCTCAGCTTCTGTTTTCAATCCTGGTTATGGAGAAAGGCTGTATTGCAGTGTATGCTGTCCATTGGAGGACCAGGCATTTCTCATGTAAAAACATCTGAAATGTTGTGAATATTTTTGATGTTGTTTTGGTTTTATTGTTTTTCTGTATTAACTAAAAACAGGAATTAAATGCAGGGGAGATTTTAGTGGAAACTTCAAATATGAAGTTAACCTTATAGTTAAAAAATTAAATGTATTTACAAATGACCCTTCTTAAAGGATGCAGTAATTGGAAGACATTAAGTAGGAAGATAGTACTGTGTGTCTTGGCTTCCAGAAAGGGTATGATGCCAGCCTGCTCTGGACTGCCAACATCCCAAAAAGCTTCCTCACTGGCTCCCTTCACCATGGGTTGCCTGTATATGTCTCCTGGTTCTTGATGCTGACACAATAAATAAAACTTTGGCAAGGTTTATGCCACAATGGGCCTGAATTGCAGATAGTCTCTAGGTGTAGTTCCAGTGTAGTTGTTCATAAATGGAGACTGTGGGTTGGGCCAGTTAGCAAATGAATCATTTGCACAGTTTTTACAGTGTCAATTCATGGTTTTGCCCATTTGTGGTGGTTTCAGAAGCTTATTAATCAAATATGTATTGATGCAGATGTGGAGCAGTGTATCTGAAAACCAGGTTTTTTTCTGACTTCTTTTGGAAGCAAGTACAGAGTAGGAGGAAGGAGGAAAATGCTTTCTCTCCCCTGGTCTGTCTGTTCTCCTCAGCAGAAGAGGGGCCCAGCAGAATCTATTTATTTTTAGGGCAAGATAGGATTTTCCTCTCTTTGGGTATGCTTGGCCTTTCCTCACAAAGGGCAATGTTCAGTGCAGGTTCTTTATGGGACGTTGTTGTTTGTCAAAGTGAAATCAGAAAGGTCCTTGAGAGGGGCTTTGGTTATGGTTATGGTCAGCCATCCTTTTCCCATACCTTGCTGGTTGCTCTTCCTTCCCGATGATAAAGTTTTGCAGTTTCTGGAATAAAGAGCTGGAGTGGAACCCAGCTAATATTTGTCTACAGAAGTTGGGTCAGGACTCCCTGGCAGCAGCTTGGCCGTTTTCTGGGCTCAGTGGAGCTCTGGTTGCCAGCACATGGCTTGGCCAAGAGGCCCAGATGCCACTTGCTCCTGCTGCTGCTGCTTTGTGCCAGGCCCAGGGCTCAGCCATCCCAGGAAACACAAAACCAGGCTCTGGGGAAATAACCAGACAGCCCATGGGAAGCACCTAATTAGATGGGTTTATCAGGTGTTTTGTAATTACAGAAATGCGTAGATAATTGTTTTCCTTTGAGCCAGCTTGTGCTTACCTCTCTTAAGAATGTGCCATGGAGAAAAAAAGTAAACTGCTATTTAATTGTACTTTAGACTGTAACTCATGACAGTGAACAGTGCACAGAGACTATGCTAATGTTTGAGTAACATGAGATTGATCCAGAGCTTTCTCTTTTGCCATCCTTTTCTGAAGGTTTAAGAATTAAATGCATAGTAACAAGCAAGAATGATCCAGATGAGTGATCTGTTTAATTGTAAGAGGTAGCATTTTTGCTAAATTATAGCCAGATTGGGATTCTGCATTGTGATGATTTGGGTGTGGTGGTTTTTGGTGGGGTTTTTTTTGTTTGATTTTTTTTTTAGATCCAATGAATTATTTGAAAAATACAGTGTACAAAACAGGAAGAAAGTATTTTCCAAACAGTAGATCAGTTAAGCTCAGCTTCCACTTGATGCAGCTTTGTTCTTGTGTCTGTCATCAAAATGTAACAGGTTCCATCCTGAATAGTTATGTTACATACATGTGCTGTCTTTTTATTTAAAAAATACTTTATGATTAAGAAGTATTGCATGATAAGATGTAGACTAGTCCAGGACTAGCTCGGGAAATAATCACCTTGAATAAACAAATAATGCTGAGGTTACCTTATCACTAAAAACCAGTGATTATTTTGGACAAAGTTCTTTTGCCTTATTGATCAATAATTCACTGAGCTATGGAGGTATTTATATGTTCCATTTGGTACTAGACCAAATTTAAAAATAAATAAAAAGATTTACAGTTATTTACTGTAGATACTTCTTTTGAATTCAAAAGATAGAGAAGAATTTATTGTAGTATATAATGTACAAAAAGAATTCAAATTATTAACCTCAAGACATCTGTTCCTGCACTCTCTCCTATAGATAAAGCTTTTAATCAGAGCAGAGCTTCAGGTCGTGAGTGAAGTTTTCTCCTGCAAGATGTAACAGGCACCTCCATGTGCTGCCAAGCCAGTGCTCAGTTCCTTTTCCTCCTTCTCCCTGACATTGCTCTCTCCAGCCTGGAAGACCCTTGGGGTATCCCCGTGGTGAAGAAAAAGTGGCCAGAGCTGCTGGGCTGGATTTTACTGGAGCACTGCACAGCACTCCAGCCTCAGGAAAGGGCAGGGAGCAAAGGGGAGGCCGAATTACTGCTGGTCAGAGGCAGGGAAGAAGGGTCACTTTAGACTTAGGGATATATTTATATTTATATACATATATTTGTGTGTGTGTGTGTGATGCAGAGCAGAGCTGGAAAAGAGGAGATGAAGAACATGCAGAGACTGACAAAGAAGGATCATCCTGTGGTCAATGCAGAAGATTGAGACAACTTAAGTTTATTGTGCCTCGCTCCTCTCCAGCGTTGTACTGCTGCACCTTAAAGGGTTGAGCAGGCACCACAGGTTAGATATGGTGAGACAGACTGAATCAGCAGAGACTCAGTCTCCTTGTGTGAGGGAAATGGCAGCCGTGCAATTTCAGCACAAAAATCAGAGGGGAGCAAATTCAGAGGGGCTTGTGCTTTTCCTGCTTGGCTCCACAGGCTTCTGTTCTGTGAAAAGTGTTGATAGACTTGAGGTTTTGGCTAATGTTAGGTGTTTCAAAAGTAGTCAATGGCAATTGCTGTATTACTACTTATGGTTTTAAACATGTGTCTTTTGTAGTTTAATGGGAAAGAGAGGGTGGAGAAATCTTGTGGGCAAAGCTGTGGAAATAGAGGGAAATTTTCTTAAGTGTCACGTTAAAGAGTTGAAAGCATATTTTGATTTAATGGCACCAGTAAACCCCTGTGCATTCATTTTCTATTGTGTTGTCTAACTTAGCTGTTGGTTGTAAAAAAAGCAGAGATAATTAGTGTTTGAACTGTGGTAATGTAGAAACCAGGACCAGAACTGCAGGTAGAAAATGCTGTGGAAGCGCCGAGGCCCTGCATTAGAGAACTCGCTGTCTACTCAGAACAAACAAAACACAGCAGTGGAAAACTGAGGCATGGAAAGAAAAGTTTGTTCCATAAGAAACCAGGAAATGAGCTCAGGGCTTATGATTGTCATCCTGTGTATTATTTCCAAGCATGCCTTATCTTTCTCAGAAACAAAAAATACTAATACCAAATTTCTGAACATTTGAAAAAAATGTTCTATTCCACTTTAGAATGAACAGCATTTTTTCATTAATATTTATGTCATTATATCGACTGCTATTTTACATAAATTAGTTATATATAATGTATAAAATTTTAAGCAATGGCTTTGCTAGATTTACATGGATTGTAATAGCAAATGTTTCCTGCTTGCCAACATAATAGTGCCTTAGCAGAAAATGAGAATCATATCTTGTGGCTCAGTCAGTGCAACCCATTATGTGTGTATACTTACATATAAGTTCTTGAAGAACTTGCAGAACAAAAATGAAAAGTTATTTTAAGAGATCCCTTAACAAATATTATTGGTGGGTGAGAAATGAGAATGCAGAAATGTAAAGCAGATTTGGTTGAATAAATGCTGGACAATTAGCTCAGCTTTCTGCAGAAAAAGAATCTGTTTTTCAACTGCGAAACTCTCGCTGGTGGATTCAATGAGTCCAATTGTGTTCTCACACTAGAAGCATTTAAAGCATTAACAATGTTCAAGTCAGAAATCCATATAATAAAATAAGATGTAGATGTTTGAAAGAATTCAGTCTGAAGTTACAATACATAGGCAAATACAAAAGGGTCTCTGAAAAAGTGTCTGTATCTAGAATGCTATTAGAGTTAAGAAAATGTAATTTATATTCAGGATAACTTAGGGTTTTGATGTATTCATGAGAGAAGAAAATCTTTATCTTTGGGGAATGGCAACAGAAATGGCTTCACCTATTGCACTCTGCATAGAGATTTGAATTCTATACCTCTTTTTGGCATTGGTCTTAGAAAAAACAGATCTTTTTCTTTTACACAAAATGAAAGCCTAATGACTTGGAATTGGGAGTGCAGATGTCTTAGAAGTTTGTTATTAAATAAATGTTTATTTCAGTAGTTGAGATACTGGCTGAAGACTAGAATCACAAAATTTCAAATTGAATAAGTAATAATGTTCTTTTATTTATGCTGCAGTTTACTTGGGAGAGGGATGGGAGTAGCATGACAGTAGGATTTTATGTTCAAAGTTGCCATGGTAATGCAACCTACTACCTGTTGCTGAGACTATGCGGTAGCTGTTATCACTTTTATTACAGCTTTTTATCGTCTAGTTTTTAAGGTGTTTGTTACAATTCAATTTCATTTTTAGGAAAACCAGTAAGCTTTGCCATTTGGCAGGAGGGCTCTATAGTAAAAGGAGTGATAGCAATGCAAGAACCTGATTCTGCTGACATGGCTCCTGTCCTCTAATGCAGAGACATTTACAAACCATCAAACTATATAGGAAGAAAAGATTATCAAGACAGTTCAGTGCCATATCTATATTAACATCCACTTTTCCCTGTAAAGTCAGTGATCAATATGGAGACAGAAATGCCCGACCAATAACACCATACAAAACATACAGACAGGTGGTTCCTAGGATCCTTGGAGGATCCTGTCTGCTTCAGAATATCCCAGGACCTCTGTTACTGGGCCGGCCCTGCTGAGCAGCAGCAGTATGGTAAGCCTGAAGTCAGCCAGAGTGCTTCCATTTGGGATCCCAGCTGTGAGACTCTCAAGATACCATCAGCCCCTCTAAATAGTAGATGGCTTGGTCTTTAAAATACAGTGCAAGGAAAATATTTACCAAAGTCAAGGTGGTTGTCCAAACCATGCCTTTCAAGTATGGAGGTGGTGATAGATGACTTCTGCACTTGAAATGCTGTATTTATACAGCATTCTCTCTTGTTGGATTCTTATTTTCAAGACCTGTCTCCTGACCTTATTTCTATAACTCCCTATCCTTTCCTGCTAGATAGCAACACTTGTCTATCTTTTTATGTGCATGTGAAAGCCATTGGCTGAATTTTACAAAATTTGTACTGGCAGGTACCTTCCTATATCTGAATCTCTCATGTCTTCAAAAGGAAATGTTCCTAATTAAGCAGGCTGTGCAAATTGCCCATTCTTATGCTCCTCGCTGTATTCGTGTCCAGTGGTTTAGCATTTAATGTAAACTTTTATATAAACTTTTGTATTTTATCTAGAAATACTAGAAAATATCTAGAAAATACTGAAAGTTAAGGAGACATCATGCAGTAGAATCAAAGAGATAAGTTATTGTGTTTTATCCAGAACAGCACTCCGATGGCTGTTGCGTAACAAGTGCTGTTTTTTGTTTAACTGAGCTGTGGGATAATACTACACTGTATGAGTGTACACAGTACATACGTGTTTTGAGGGTGTGCCTACATTGGTGTGAACCAAAGGTGCATGTATCTGTTCTGTTTCTTACCAAATAGTCCCAGGGATAATCACAGTGAAAGGCATACCCATAGCTAAGGGGTTTGGTGTGGTTTCACTTTTCTGAATGCAGTCCTCAAGGGTGAGGTCTTGGATTCTTCCCTCCTCATGCTCTGCTTATAATCGTGGCACCTAATTCAGGAAAAGGGTCTTAGACTCCATCTGCATCAGTCAGAAACATCTTGGGTCTTTGAAAATCTCTTGAAGCATTAGTCACTGGGTGGAGGCACCTACTTCACTCATTTAGACCTACGAGGGTGTGAAGTACGTTTGACCTTGAGGCAATAATTCGTAGCCCATTATCAAACTCAAAAACAAGTGAAAGAATTGCCAGTGCAATATAACACATTGATGTTTTGGAAACCTACCTTTGTTTGCTCATGAAATGGAGGGCTGATGTCTGTCAGTCGACTCTGGCCACTTTTACAGTCAGATGTAAGTGTTGCTCTACATGTGCTCATGCAAGAGCAGGCAGGTCTATGAAGGGGGAAATGTGGGTGCTGCTTCAATATCTCAGTTGCTGATGACTGCTGTTTTCTGGTTCTCGATGGCAGTTTTTGCATCCTTTTGGTTTTCACTTGTCTGCAAGGACTCTTTCCAAAGTCTGCAAGTTTTAAGAGCTATGTCTCAAGATTCATCAGTTCAGTCTTTTCACCAGTCACTGGTGTTATATGATATGGTTAAAGAGAGGATTTCTGGAGTGGCTGTAAAATACTCATTTAACTTGTTCATTTGTCAGAATGGACGGCTGTTAAAGGTATGCCTGTGGATCCTTGGGTCTTCCTCTCTATCCAGGTAAGACATACCAGGAGAATTCCAGCATTGAGAAGGGCTTTATGAACAGACTGTCAGCTTCTCTTTCATGCATTTTACTAACTGGGAGTGATAGGGATTTAGTGATAGGGAGTGGTGATGGTACTTTATGGTAGGTTAAGATACAGCTGTGGTATGGATTTTGATCAGTAAAGGAGGGCAGAAATTAGTGCTGGCAGATACAGTAAAACAGTCTCAGTAGTTCTTGTTAAACATAAGAACAACCATGGACTTCAGAGCACTAAGAAAACAGAACACGTGTGAAATGTCTCATCTGCAGCTGGAAAAGGAATTTTTAATAGCTGAATGTCAAGTAATTGACTGGTAATAAATAAATAAAAATAATTCATGCACAGGGTAGGACCACTGCAAGGGAAATTAAGTCATTTTCTGTGTAAAACACATATACAAAACTGAACTACAGTTTCTACATCATCATTTTATGCTCTTTTTGTAAAAAGGGAGTACCATCAATTACTTTCCTTTGCAGAGCATTTTGAAACAAAACTACAGAATACATTGGATGAAATCTATACTTATGAGCTCATTAGGACTACTACCAGAAATAGTAGAATCATCCAGCATACAGCACGGAAAAACTTACATTTTGGAATGTTTACATGTTTAAAAATTCAGTGCTTACAAATGAATGAAGTGAGGTGGCTGCTGCAGTTTCTCCTTCTGCAAAGGGGAGTCATCCTGAGTCTGTAACCCTTAAATCAGTCTCTTTGTGTCTGTTCAGAGGAAATGGCTTTGTTCAGAAGATCTGATGCACGTGAGAAATCTTTATGAAATGCCTTCGACAAAAAAGAATTTACAGTAACACTTATAGCACTAATACAACAGAATGAAAATAATCCAAACCAGCCTGAATCACCATGAACAAGTATTGATGTCTTCAAATAAAAATATAATTCCAGTAATTCTGGTGCTCACTTTTAACATAGCTTTTCATTTGAGTTTGCTACTTTTACAGAGCAATGCTTCTCTCTTTTAGAAACCTTTTCACTAGAACCAGATTGATGCTTAAAACATCATCAAGCCCTCTTCCTCAGGTCAGAAATCCCAAGCCTTTTCATAACTGAAATAGTGGAGGGGCCATGGGCTCCATGGAATCCACAGGAGGCCTTACTACTCCACTTGGTTTTCCATGGAAAGTTGTCAGCCACTGCAGTATGTACTCTGAACAGTCAACTTAAGCAATACTGGAATGAAGATTGTAAGAAAGCTTGACTGCAATAAATACTTGTAACCTCTTGTGAATTTGCTGTGGTATTCCAGATTTACCACATGGAGCTGTGTACTAAATAGAATCAATAATTTGGTGGTTGGTCCTGACTTCTGCTGGATGAAGCTGCTCTGTTGTTTTGTCACAGCTATGGGCCTGTTTTCTTTCCTAATTTGTTGTGCTTGCTCGGTGAAATTGAATCGCACGCTGTTTCAGGCAAGTCTTGGAGAAGTTGTTTTCCTCGGTGCAGATGGCTCTTTCCTCCAGATGTGAAAGGCAGTTAAGAGCTGCCTCATTTTTTTCTTAACCCTTCTGAACCATCTTGAAGTGCCCTTGATGCTATAGTAGTGCAGTGGTTCTTGCCCTGTAGATGATTTTCTTGTCCCTGTGATCTGCCATGCGTGTCAGTCACAGCACTGGCTCCTTAAACGGGTTGCTTTGGTTTATTTGGCTTGTGTTCTTGTTTGTTTTAACAACGACAAAGTAAAATTCAAGAGCACAGCAGCCCCTGGGAGGTCTCCCTGCTGGAAGCTCTCGTGGCAGCTTGGCACCAGTGAGGGTGCAGGCCCTGGTGTTTGCAGCTGCAGATGTTCCAGCCCTGCATCTTCAGCCCAAAGCAGTCAAGGAGAATCTGTACCCTGACCATTTCCCTTCACCCTGCCCGTTTCATTTGGGAACACAATGAGCTGTCAAAATTTCCTGCTTTGTTACCACAGAATTCCTTCCTTTCGCTCTAAAAAGTATTATTTATCTAAAACTGCTAATTGCATAAATTGTCAGAACGACTGCTTAGCTTGATTTTTAAGGTGGAGACAAAGAGATGTAAAGGTCTGGTGGAATGATGAAAGTCAGCCTCAAAGTCATCTGCCAAAGCAAAAAAAAAATAGCATTGAGTGTGTTGCCATTAACGACCCAAATTAATGTGGCAAGTTGTATATCTGGTGCAATCCCTTACTAAGATGTAATTAAAAGTAAAAGGGAAGAATGTGAATATTTTCCAAATGCGTGTGCCAAGAAAAAATGGAGGAAGGGAGGTGTGGTTGATTTAGCCCACCACCACTTCCTAACTAATCTTTCTCTAATGATGTAGAGAGAGACTAGGAGGCACCTGGTGAAGTATTTTGAAATAACAGATTCATGAGGTAGAGCTACTTGATAACATCTTTGACTCATCAGAAACTTGCCTTCCCTCAGGATAAAGTTAATAATCATATAAGAATATAAAGATTTTAGTAGCTTTTCCTAAGTCAGCAAGGATGCAGATTTATTCTGTATACAGGTTCCTATAGTGCTAGAGACAGTCCAAAATTATATTGCCTGTAAAAAATTTAAAATTACACAAACAGCCAATTCTAATAATCACTAATTTGTCATGACTTCCGATCCTGGGGCTTGCTAGTTCAGTAAAACTCATTCACATTTCTTACTAATTCCATCAATAGCTCCATTACTTTCCCTCCCTTTGCTGAAATTGCTTTGAATGGTGTACATAAGCATTTAATTTGGCTGGCCTGTAGGTCTGTATGAGACAGCAGGACCGTGGGAGGAAGCTGGGCTGGCAGGAACATCAGGCATCTGGGCCACAGAGCAGCTGGGACAAAGAGGTGACAGCAGCGGTGAACTTAATTTAAAGTAGCTGTAGCTGTCAATACCTGGTATGTCCCAGCATTGTGTTATCCTCAGGGATCATGAGTGCTCTTCTGTGTCAAGATCATTAAGAAAAATTCTTTAGGACCATTCCCAGCGTAAATTTTCTAAATATCATGGAGATTACGGAGTAATTGTTCCCACGCAAAAGTTTCCTTTTGGTGCACCGTGTTATCTTCTTATTTTTAGTCTTAATTTCTTGTACTCTTCTCTTGCCTTCTCTTGGATGTTTAATGAGGTCCATATTGTTGAATTGCACTACAGTATTGCTTTCTTTTCCTTTTGTCTAACACTTACTTATTTTATTTGAAGTAATTAATTATCTTGTATGGTCTACATTTGGTAAGCCCACCTTGTCTTTTCATCGGTGTTACAGTTGTCTACCTACCTTTAGTGTTCTCTTCCTCAAAATTTGGGGTCACACTTTTGAGATCAGAGTTAAGGAATCCTTTTGATACATGACTGTATATGATTTTCTTTTTGTCTAGTACTATGGTACCTCCTCTGATTTGATAGTTGCATTATTTCATGCCTACAAAGAATATCAGTCTTTCTGGCTTTATAGTATCATATGCTTTGGGTGTTTTTTCAGATTTCTGGAGTCTGAATTTACCTTTTTTTGTTTTGTTTTTAATGTCTCCGCTGATACAGTCACAAGTGACATGTTTATCAGTGTGTAATACAGGGGATTACTTGCAGATTCCTGTTAATTCATTGGTGCCTGCAGAAAAACAAAAGCGTTGGTCAAGGCATGCTCTGAATTCACACCCGTTCTTAATTTGCTGATGCCTGTATCAGCAGCAGGCTCAAGCCTGCCTGATTTTTTTGGGTTTATATCATGCGTACCATGTGCTTGCCATCCTTACTCTTTGTGCACACGTGAGCCAATCTGATGGGGTTACCTGTGGCAGAGAGCAATGCTTTTAAGTCTGGGTGCTGCTTTGTGAGCTCTGCCTTGTGGGTGCTGGTGAATCCTGCGTCGGAGTTCTACAAACTCTCCAGCTATTTGCTCCACCCTCCTTCTCCTGAACGTGAGGATCACGGGGGGATGGGTTCCTGTACCTTCATGGCCACAATAGCGTTACACATAATTTTAACTGCTGATGAAGGCAGACCCACGGCATCAGCGTACCTTTGAAGTGGAACAGCTGAAGAGCAGGTAGAGGTTTGCCCCTCCTGGCCCTGCTGTCAGGAGGGGTAATTGGGGCTTTGGACTGGCTCCTCAGAGTGGTTGGCAAGAAGGAGCCGAGAACGGGGAGCACGTGTTCTGTCTCTGGGAACAAAAAAGCAAAGTGAAAATAAGGGTGAGAGAACCTAGATTTATATTTATAATCAAAAGTGGCTGTGTTTGAAATATTCGTAATTTGCATGCACTCTCTTGTGTCTTTCGTATCTCTAAGGACCCCTAGAGGGCACGGAAGTTTTTCTCCACCTCAGATATTTAACTTAGTAATTCTACTTGGCTTTCTTCCCTTCAACATAATTATAAGCACATTTTAAGTGAACATTAGATAGAAAAAAAATAACAGCATTTAACTAGATCCTTCTTTTATGCTACAAGATGTTTTCTTGTTTTTAAACACAAGCAGTAGAAGCTAGCACTAGCAGCCAAATTCTTAAATTATTGTTTAGATTACTCAGATGCTATATTTGTATCCCAGAGGAAATGCAATTCAAAGTAACTAAAAATTCACACTTCACTGCAAACTTTGATAGGACTGCACTACTACTACTACTACTACTACTAGTGTGAGCTGTGTAAGGATGGGCAGTGGGTTTGCTTTCTACACTGTGGTCTCTGTTTCTGTAGAAGAGGAATTAGTATGGTGAAGAACTAGAGTACTCTTAACTAGAACCTCAAGGTCTCCAGACTTCATCTTATTTAAGAATTTTTAATATTTTGGTCTTGTTGATTGCCTGTAAAGGACCAGTTACATTTCACTGCAAGATACTTAAAATTATGGACACATAAAATTGACATGCTTGCCCACTACTTCCTGTCTACTTGGAGAGAGGTTTTGTAACTCTTATATATCCTGGGGAGCATTTTTCTGCTTAAATTAGTTTTGCCTATTTCATCAATATTACATGGTAAGTCAGGAACTAGTCAGTGTGAGTTACACAGCAATACACAGTACTAATTCTTAGTATTGTGTTGGCACTTCATCACCTTTAAATATGCATGCTGACGCTCCAGAGTAATGCTTATCTGAGAACATTAGGTTTTCACTTACATAAAACAGCTGCAGTGTTTGAGGAGAAGCTTTGCATTTTCCAGAGTGCTCAAAGAGCAGAAAGTAAAACAAAAACAAACAAACAAACATACAAACCACCTACCTAAGTGCAAAAACATCTTAATACTTTTTGGGGGGGGATTTTTTCATCAACTAATGGTTTTGAGAGCAGTCCCACAGCTGTGGAGGTCCATTGGATTGTGGGCCTAGTCTGGGATTGGGACCTTTGTATGTGAAGCCCTGACAGTCAGAGTCCTACCTGTTCTTGCTTGAGGAAAAAAAAAGGCAGATGTCTGCATGTCTGCACTTCTTGTGAAGCAATGAGAGCCTGCTTGCTGGGCAAGAAGTTGTTCAATAGGATAATGTTGTTTAATCCCAGCCAGCAATGAAGGGTTTTTTGTGTCTTTGTTCTGATAAGAGGATCAGCTGTACTGCTTTACCCAATTACCCCGGGATGTCGTGGGAGATGAATTTTTGGACCTTAGTTTTCCCACTGGAGGAGTGTAATGTCGTCACTTTGTATTAAAAAATAGATCTAGATGCAAACAGCAGGGAAAGGCAGCTGCCCCTTCTAATGTCTCTGGGGATTTTGTGTTTTGCAGGAGATGCACGGGTGAGAGGTCAGACAGGGGTTGTCTCCGAGCGCCGCGGCTCCTACCCATTTATAGACTTCCGTCTTCTTAACAGTAAGTGCAACCCTTCTTTCAGGTCTGTATTTAAATAAAAACAAACAAAAATCTCTACTGGAAGTGTATGAACCAAACTATCTCATCTCACACATATCTGTAGCTCAGCTGTCTTCACACAGTCAGCATTAATTCCATTATTTCCACTCAGTGTCTGGCTGTGAAATGTTTTGATTGTGTGAATAGTCCATAATGCTGAATCTGTCAAATGTAAATACAGTAGGGCCATGGGGTGTGCTAGGGAAGGAGCAGGGGCAGTTCAGAATTAAAGAGATAAACCTCCGTGTCCTTTAGCCTCTTAGACAGCAGTTGGAACAGATTTATGTGAAGCTGTTATCCGGTCATATAGAATTGGAACAGAAGGGGAGCATGTGACAGCACTGACCAGTGGTTTACAATAACATTAATTTTTCCAACAATTAGAACCCAATCCAAAGCTCCATGGAGTCTTCTCATTGACGTCAATGGATTTTGGGTCAGGCCAGCAGTGAACATCTGTTAAAAATAACCTTAACCTCATTTTGATTGAAGTTATTTTGCCACTGTTGTAAATAAAGGACAGCAAATCTAAAAAGAAAAAGAAACAAATCGAAGCCCTGTTGGGTGTTTTTTCACGTGATGGACTCTCTATACTGATGCAAACCCATTAGCAAGGGTGTAAAAAAATAAAATAAAAAGAACCACTAAGTCTTGGGTCCTGTAACACACAGCCTGTGTATAAACTTCAGTGTATGGACACAGGCAGATCTTGATGTGTCCTTGTGTACTGCACAAGGAACCTTTGAAAAAACTGTTATTCACTGTCTTCATCAAAACAAACTGGACCTCCCAACAGTTTCAGTGCTGACACTGTCATGCTCCTAGGGATTGTGCTTTTCATCAAAGAGCAATTGTCAAACCGAAGTTTGAATGCTCCTTTTTGCACTTCCTTGTCTGGGTGCCTGGGGAAGGGAGGAGGAGGCGGGGAGGGAAGAGAGCAGAGAGGAAGCGAAGCGGGAGGGCTGGCTGGGGGTCAGAAGTAGAGAGGAGCTGGGGAGGGAGGGCTTGGGGTCTGATGGGCTGCATCCCCCCATGCTGGCAGAGGTACTGCCACCCAGCAATGTGCTGCTGTCACTCCTGCTGATTAAAGGTGTTCTCTGGGTTGGAAGTCCATCAGAGAGCTTGCTATGGCTGAGGTAGAAAGGCATAAGGGGGTAAGAGGGGTCCATCAGTTTTCCCAGGACAAAGGGAATAACTTACTGGTTGAGCAGAGTTTTGAGGACAGTTTAGTTCTGACTTGCCAATGAAAAGCACGAAGAAAAATCAGGTGTAAGCTAGCTGGAAATAGTATTGGTCATGCATGCCCTTGTAAAAACTGAGAGAAAATAAAGCACTTTTCATTCATGAAGTAGAAGTGGATATATATTCATATTCAAATGCGACTAAGTTGATTCTTTCTTTTTTATTTTGAATACATATACATTATATAAAATTTGGTTTCTTTTAAACTTCAAAAGAGTTTTTAGTTTCTTTACCCATGGAGAAGGAAGAACACAAGAATAGTTCCAGGATTTTTTTCTGGCTATAGGGCTTTCACTTCTAGCCCCTGTATGTGAGTCCTGCCCTCCTACAGATCCTGCCACTTTCTGTGAAATGCTGGTGCTGTCTGTGGGCTGTGTAGAAAGACATCCATGGCAAGGGATGCTCTGGCTGGGAATACTCATCCTTTGATCATGCCAAGAGCAAGGCACTCCACCTAAGCTAAAAAGTGATGCTTCCTAGTGTGTGCACCTCTGGTCCAGCAGGATAGGGAACCTGGGAGTTCTGTGTTCCAATGCTCTCTCTCACAGAGACCTCCAGCTTACTGTTTTCACTGCTTTTCCATAACCTGAAATGTATGGCTGGCGGATCATGATCTCTGTAAGGGAAAGCAGTGATCCTGATTTTAGATTCTCCTTGGTTTTCAGGTTTTTATATATTTACCATTTTCTCTCTAAGGAGTAATGTTGCCTTAATTTTTTTGTGCAAAATGAAGTGGGATTTCTAGACACTTGACTACTGATTTTGTAGCTGGCAAGTGCACACTGGGCCTGGCTCACTTGGTGACCTACAAGTAAATGAAGATGCTCAATGTTAGAGCATGCAGATGTGTTTTGCCAGGAAATAAACAGGCTTTTGTAATATTTGTTCATCTACATCTTTCTGTTAAATCCATTCCTGCTGTGCAGAAGTAGCAAAAAACATAACCACATAAGCAGTATGTGTAAGCAGCAAAAAACATGGTGCTGCACATCCTATCAAAAAGAAATATATATAAATGCCACCACTGCACACTTTCTTGAAAAGTACCCAATTAATAACCTTCAATAAAATTTTGTCACCATGTTGCATTTGTTTGGGGGCAGTAACTGGCCGGCAGCAACTGTATACTGAAAAATGTTAAGAGTGAAGGGAGGAAGAGGCAGATGAAATGTTATAGTAAATGTTCTCAGAGGTCATCAACAAATGCAGCATAAAGATTACTGCAGCTTCTCACTAACAAACTGAGTTTAAATAGCGACTGTTCTATCTTGCATCTGAAATACTGTTCCAAAAACCAGTACCAGCCTTGTTTTAAAGTAAGGGAAAACACTGAAGCTCATTCTTGAACAAGTTGACATCCATTATGTAAATTCCCACGTAAAAAAAATACAGGGCATTGATATTTAATGTCAGACTAAAGATTACTTATATGTAACTTTTTAAAGTGCAGATTCAGTCAAATTAGTGGATGTTTCCCTACTTTGTCTGTTAAGGGTTAACACTGACTAGACCATATCTTCTGTTTTTTCTGGAGTCCTACAATAAAGTCTCTGTGTAACTTAAGACACCATGAAGTCTTTCTGGATAGGAAAACTTCCTTCACTCTGAAAATGGGATCTTCTGTAGCCCTAATCAAAGCCAGCTGTACTAATGTTGGCTTCTTGCTGTTTGAGTCTGCGATGCCATCTGCACATTCCCCCACTGACTCTGCAGTGTATAGAAAGTTAGTGTTGCTTCACCTTGTCTTTGCCAGGCTCTCAGGACCATGAGGATGTTTCAGGATCCTCTCTGGGTGAGATACAGGGCTTTAGTGTCTTCCTGTCTTTTCTCTGATGGCAGCGAGTCAGAAGCTTGAGGGGAGGCCGTGTAGCAGCTCCTCCCCAGCAGAGGGAGGACTCCTAAAATAAGAGATACAAATTTTGCACGGCCCTATAGGTTTATGGGAAGATAGGGTGATAGTTTTGTCTTCAATTAATTCCAAACAAAATCTCACAAATTTTAGGAAATTTTGACTCTGAACTGGGTAGCTCAAGCTTGAGACTGAACCTGGTGCAGGTCGAAATTGATGTTGGCAACTCATTGACACTTCCCCATTTCAGTGAATTAAGTGAACCTTACTGTTCACAGGACAGAAAAGGAGTTAAATTAAATATTTGCTGGGTAATAATTTAGAATTCAAAACACTTCTGCAGTGCAAATTAATCCAATTTTCCTTTTAGCAGAGTATTATTTGGATTTGAGGAATAAAGAGCATAGCTATGGTAAGCAATAATTTGGTTCTCTGATTCATAAAGTTGCTCAGTGAGTCATTGAAGCAGGTCTCACTAGTGACTAATATGCATTGATTTAAATGGATTTTATTATCTCATTATGAGGGTTTTTTTTGGTGGCTGTGACAGTACACTTCTTCATTGCCTTAACTCAGAAGTTTGAGGGAATTCCTTGTGATTAATCTGGACTTGTAGGTAAACATGCAGCAGTAAGCAAGACCTCACCCTATGGCAATTATGTTGGATACTTTGTTTTATTGCCAGGTTCGATTAAGTAGAGTAACAAAATAACATAGATTACAGCTGTGATAAGTAACTTACTATTTAGAAGTTTGCTTGACAAGGTTCTTAAGACTTAAATTCTCTCGTTCCCGTCTTGTTTATGCCAAGCTTTTATCTCGATTAAATTTTGGCTTGCAAACAACAAAATTATTTGCCTTTAATTGACTATATTTAATTCCCTTCTTCAGTATTCACTTCAGTATTTATATATGTGACCTGCAAATTGGAGTCTCTGTACCCAAGTGGTGTTACCCAGAGAGATACCTGTTTTCTTACACCTTGCACAGCAGGAACACAGAGTGGGATCTGAGAATATGCAAAATGTCAAAACATGTCTATAGACATTCCAAAGGTATGTCTCTGTATTACTTAGGATCCTGATGTTGTCATGCAAGCAGAAGCTGAGTCCCAAAGAACCCCACCTGCTTTAAGCTTAGCATGGCAAATTAATTTATTACGGATTATATACTTTTAACTCCAGATGGTGATAAATGGTCATATTAGGTAACATTCCATCTCTGTCCTTGATTTGTGTCTGATCTGAGTCAAGCAAAATACTCTGGTTTTCAGTTTGTTTGCAAATAAAGTGAATTTGTCACATACTTTGCAGGAATGTGATGAATTAGGTATTGGAGAAATAAAACATGTTGTCAGGATAAGTAAGGGAAGATATGACGTCATGAAAATGTCTCCATCTCAAAGAACCAAAGTCTGTGGACATTTGAATCTGTGGTTTCTGCCTGTCTGCAGAAGGGTCTATTGCAAAATTTGCATTCATTTTTGGGTTTGAATTTTGAACACTCCAGGGCTTTCAGGTAGGGCCCATCTCCAGGGAAAATAAAACTTAACCGCAGCCACCAACCCAAAACTGAACCATAAAGTAACCTGAACCCAATTGAGTGAGGTTAAAAAGAGTTTGGTTAAGCGCCTTGTTTTGTTGCCTTTGGCTAGAAAAAGAAGTGGGAGTGAGAGATGCTTTTTTAGATATTTCTGACCTGGGTTAAATTAGGACACTAAAAGTCTTGTGAGGAAGTTTTAAGGGCTGATT